ATTACCAGCCCCCCTACCACTAATTCAAGTACCGGCCCCCACAAGGCCCCCACCCCAAGCGCTATCAGCCCAACCCCCCTTAACAGCACTCCCCCACGCGCTTACACCGCTGCCCCCAGTGCTGCTGCGAGTCCTGCTGCCACCTCCACCGCCCGACCTGCTCCGACCACTGGGTCCATCATCCCATGCTCCATCCACCAGTCTGCCACTTCAAACAAGGCCACCCCCCCCGCTGTCACCCTCCTCACCACCATCTTTGCTGCTGTCAACCCCAGTGCCACCTCTCCCAGCTCCGTCCCACCCCCTGCTCTCACACGCAGGGCCACCACCACCAGTGTTGTTACTAACCCGGCTGTTACCACCCGCAACACCAGCACCCCACTGGTGTCCATGACCCCCCCGGCACCTGGGGGTACCGCCCACCCCGCTCCTGCCACCCGTAACACCGCCACACCGAGCACCCACAATGCTCCCAGCACCCTGCCCCCCCCCCCCCCCCCCCCCCCCCCCCCCCCCCCCCCCCCCCCCCCCCCCCCCGCCACACCGAGCACCCCCAATACTCCCAGCACCCTTGTCCCTTGTCCCCCCACAATGCTCCCAGCACCCTTGTCCCTAACTCCACCTCTGCACCCACTGCCACTGCAGCCACAGAGATGAACCTCCTTCCCCACAAGCCCACCCTGATTCCCAACTCCACCGTCTCCACCCAAAAGAGTGTTGTCTCCTCAACAGCCAAGACTACAACATTGGCTTGCAAGACCGGTGCCCCTCCAGCATTTCTCGGCCCCTCTTCCACCACCACCAGCAGTGAGGTCCCTAAAAAAACACCCGCAGGCGTGCCAGAGCCACTGAGACCAACACCTGGCGGCTACATCAACCTGCAACCTGAAGCTGGTAAGGTGTGAATGTTTGGAGTCAGGAAAGGCTTAGGAACCGATGGCGAGGCAGAAGTCTTCACTGACAAGCACTTTATTCTGGCCAGATTCAATACCGGCGTGCTGCTGTCCACAAGAAACCCCAAGTAGTTACTGGCTAGACAGGTAGCGATGTGTCTCTACAGGGCGTTACAGCCCCTGGATCTGGAGGGGAACCCATGAGCTCTCAAGTCCAAAAAGGTGCACCTTAAGATGTCTCGTCACCTTCTGAGCACGCAGCACCCCTCAACCGCTCTGCAGAAAGCTGGAGTAATTCCGTTAATGCCAATGCACTGTATATTTTTCACAAGGCAAGGATACGGCCTTCCGTATTTTAGCTGCACATAGTGTTTCTGACTAGGCATCACTGTAAAAGCCCTAAAATCTGAAGTCCTCTATCCTGACAGAGCTACATTCGTAGCTTTAATGACTCAAACAGATTTACTCCTGCTTTACGCGGGTAAAAGTAAGAAAGACTCAGTCCTGCTGACTATTCACAGCCAGGTGACATGTATAACGGGGGTGCAGGTCAGTGCCTGAAGGTGCAGGCATGGGCAATGTCACAAAAGGCAGAAAAGTGTTGTCCTGACACGTGCGATCCTCTGGGGTACCTGAATCCCAAAGCAACTCTACTGCCCTGGCAGCTCACGTGTGCTGTTTGTCTGGATAATCCAATTGTTTCTCATCCGTCTTCTCCACCTAGGATCAGGATCCAGACTCTCCTCCTGCCTAGCGCACGTACTGACGGCAGCCGTGGGAAGCTCGCTGCTGCGAGGGCTTCTCTGACGCTGCCACCTCCAGCACCATACTCACTGGATCCCTCCTTTAATTTTCACCATGCTGCAAAATAACAATGCTGGCAAGTTCCTTGCTGAAAAGCAGAAACACGGGGAAGGAATAGAGTTTGTCCATTTGACACCAGCATGGAATTCGCTTATTATTTTTGAGGCTGGGCCAGTGAAAGGACGACAGATATTTTTCCAGCCCAAAGAAGCCCAACAGGTACTAACTAGCTAGTTGCTCTATAGAATACAATTATCAGCAATATTGACTGGGCTGGCAATGCGTTAATGCTGATAGCGGGCCCAGTTCTGCCAGCTTTACTCACACTGAGTGGTATTTTACTTCTAAGCAGTCCCACTGGGATCTGTTGAAACAGTGGGACAACTCAGGGATTTGAGTTACTGGCCATTGCAAGAGAAGCAGAATATGGCTCAGCAACGCAGTCTGAAAGCTCAGAGATCCATTAAATTGCATTTAACTTGTTTCATTAACTTATGAGATTGTTCAAACTACGCGAAACCTAGTTAGAGGGATGATTAACTGAAGACAGTTTATCTTGATTACTGTTGCAATGCTATATAATAAAACATCAATCAACTTCTTTCCTAATCAAATGTGTTCTTTGATGTGTTTAGTGCTTTGTAGTGTAGTTTTTCTAGCTAGCTTAAATCTAAACAGTTTCCACTTCTTTTGCTCTGACTTTCTTCCTTAGCTAGTATCTCCTCCTCCAACAGCTCTACCGCAAGTGAGTGTTTCTCCCTCCAACTTGCAGATCTTGCACTTACTAGTTTCAATCTCCATGGGCTGAGGAGATTCTTGCATGTCATTTGTTGAGAGCTAGTCAAGGCATGATGAAACAAATCAAGATTTCTATCAGGGGATCCATGCTGTTAAAAATGCAGACTGTCTTTCTTACACTGGGCTCTGTCCCACCCTAGCTAGTGCCCCAGCACCACGGGATGCAGGCAGTGGGGAAGTGTCTCTTGCCACCCAGAAGTCTATTGAAGGACAGACCAGATTGTCCTGTTCTCTTTCTGTAAAGCATGGACAATGAACATTTATAATGACTTTGCAGACAGGCTCTCCTCCTAGGGGAAAACAGGGATTTCAGGGGCTGAATACAGGAGACACTGAGGCTTTTTTGGACAGAAACTCCCAATGAGTGGAAAAAAAAAGTGTTGAAAATCTTACACAAAGTTCTCATACCCTCCCCATGAGGAAGCAGAGAACAGCCTCAGCCCTTAGAGTTGCGTAGTCAACACCAAAGAAAAGTAACAGGCATGTTTGCCGTTCCTGACCATTTAATTTGGATCGATACCTGCAGACACGAAGGTGTGGGCAGTCTGAATGAAGAGAAGACAATAGCAACTAATCAATTTGCTTCTGGCATTTTTTACTTAGTTCCATTATTTATTTACAATCAGCCGGAAAACTTCACTCCCACTCAGAGGTCTTGGCAGTGTCAAGAGATCAGGCTCTTTGACAAATGTAATCGTTAACATGCAGAACAGCCAATTTGCTCACCCTTAAACCCACCAGGGTTGCACAGTAAAATATTGACATCGTTTGTGTTGCAGTAATATGGCTGGGCCTTACCTGGGCTTGGTCTGTACAAAAGGCAAAGATCCTGCTCTGAAGAGTCTGAAACCTTCCCTTCAGAGAGAACACTGATTTTTTCTGAGTGATTTGAAAAAGAAAAGTACCTAAAAGTGAACCCTGGGCTGTGTAACAGTTGCCTGCTAGCACTGAGCATCCCCTCACCCCCGAGGCGTGGCTGTCCCCAACTGGCCTCAAAGCAGGTCACAGGCTGGTCCCCCTCGTCTTGCTTTCTCTTGAAGGAAGATTTTCAAGACAAGACCGACATCATCAGGAAACTGATAAGCAGAGCAGGCAAGAGGTGGAGTGTCATGGCCACAGTACCCAGAGGGGCTGAGGATGGTGCTAGAAGAAAAAGAGGGGGCATCAGTGCAAAGAAATCAACAATTGAACCATTCCCCCATGAGGGAGAACACCTCTTTATGCCACATCCAGGGAAGATCTTTGGCTTTCTGACTAGGGCTTTCTAACCGGTAAATAGCCACCCCTAATAGGACCACCAAGTCATAGCCCAAATCCAACACAGAGCAGAAGAGGAAGCTCTGGAAGTGCTCACTCAGTTGAGGTGTTCAGTCAGCAAGGATGCTCTCAGTGGGATTACAGGATTGCTTCTCATCTTGGATCCAGAATTTGCTCTGCAAGGCTTAAGGCTCCTTGGCAGAAGTGAACTTGCTGCCCCTTGATGCTGCCAGGTGAAGGGAGGAGGTGAGCCCTGCCCAGTGCGTTTTACTGGGGCTGGGTGGATGGGTAGTGACAAGTGCCACTGGAAGGGGTCCACAGTAGCCCAGATCAACAGTCTCTGCTCTCTCGGCACAAAAGCAACCAGCAGGACTTTCCAGGGCCTTGGCACAAGCACTGCTGAGAGAAGGAGCAGAGCTGTTTGGCAGCACTGCCCAAGGCCACCGCTTGCTTGAGCAAGGCCCTGACTCAGCGCCCTGGGAGCTACATCAGCTTGGTGCACTCACTTCTCTTTCACAGACAACTGAAAGCACTTTGCTTCCGTAAGACAGTTCTTCTCCTTGCTGTAACCCAAAAATAAATATTTAAAGCACAACAATCAGAGGTCCTAACATACTACGTACGCTGAAATTTGGGTATGACGATGTTCATGTAGCCTTCTTGTGTTCCCCCAGTAAGCCCAACATGCAGTTTATCCAGTTCTGACTGTTTCTGCCTTTGGACCCACTCCCGGATGGGAAACTTGTTCTGCCATTTCTCCAGATCTCCAAGATTCATCCCCAGCAAGCCCTGAACCTCAGAAAGTGTCAGGCTCTAGGAGAAATCAAAGAGCAAGAATTATGGATGTAAATGCAGGAATGGAAACAATACCTCTGACCAAGGAACCGATGAGATTTCTACTAGCAAAAGTGTGAAGAACAAAACAAATTTCTGGCGAGTGGTTTCAGTTGGGACACTCTTGCCCCTTAGGTTTGGGGAATGAACACAATGGTTCCTCAAAGCCTATTTCTGTTATCCGCTGATGACAAGTTTCCTACACCCAAGTTGGGGCCCCAGTCCCTGCCCAAATCGCTGGGCTTTCTTCCAAAATCGATGATATTACTGCTAACACTCTTGTTAAAAGATTTGTCACATAGCTGTGGAGTGTAGTCTAGTGGACGCTTGTCTCCTGCTCCTGCCACCACTGCTATGAGAGCCTGCTATAAAGAAATTCCCCAGTAAGACTGGCTAAGCATCCATGTATGACTCCAATTCTGAATTTGATGAGTGACTCCTGATTTACACCAATGGACAATGCAACCAAAACCAACCACTTAACATGATATGAATATACGGAGTCAAATAATTTCAAGATTCAGCTCACCATCAAAGAGTCTGTCCTTAACTTCGCCAAAGTACTAACTTTCATGTTCACGTTGTCCTTGCTTAGATCTCTGAGATCTGCACCAGGAGCACCCCCTGGGACCCAAAAGAGAAAGCATGTCAATGCATGGAGGACAGCCCTCAAATGAGCAGTGTTGTCTATCTGTATAAGCTGGAGCTATAATGATGTCTCATATAATGATGTCTTGGGGTGCTAACAGAGTGAGTTCCAACTGCAAAATATATGGATGCTACTTCATTTTGCTGGGGGGTATTACTGTATTGGCTGTTAAACCAATCTGTGACAATGCCAGACGCTAGACAGAGGGGTAAGAAGAGTTTGCTCAGGTTGTGAATAAATTCTTGGCGTAACAGGGAAAAATCTGTTTTGTGACATGGAGAATGGCTATGAGATAAGCGTTAAGCATTAGCAGCTTGATTTCTCGTGGATCTAGCAGATCTTACCCATCCCAGAAGTCATGAATTTGATTTTCCCTGTGATAGTCTGACAATTGATTTGGGCAACTTTAAGTCAGGTACAGAATCCTTCAAGAATATTTTATGCCATCTACAAGCTGGAAGGACCCAAACTCTCCAAAACTTTTAACAACTTGGCTTTGAAAATTTCTACATCTTAGATGGTATTTGATGCCTATTCAGTTTCTGGCTAAGAACTCTCTCTCCCCCCATAACATACTGTTCTTTTACATACCTAGATATGGTTCAATAAGCCCATAGTAAGCAGGTAAATAGTGCTGGTCTGAGAAAGCACGTTTTGCTTTAGCATATAAGATGTCTTTCGCAAGCTGTGAACAGGCTGAAAGATTCAGAGATGCCAGTCTGCAGAAAAATGAAGATTTAAGGAGAGAAAAGTTTTTACTATCTTCAACCTGAACAAATTTTGAACTATTCTGAGTATCTCTCTGGGATTCTCTACATAAGACAGGCTACCCCCTCTCCCTAGCAGATAGAAGAGGTATGGAGAGAAGCTAAGCGAAAAAAATAATGGCTCGGTCTCCTGCTCAAAATGGTAGGTCTTCTAAGTTATGATGGCTCTGATGGTGCATGATAAGTTTATGTATTTGCAAAGATAACGTTATTTCATTAATTTCATTTAGCAGTCTTTCAAAGGAATTCAAATTAAATTTAATTAACTGTCTTTTGCCTCTAGATAAAAGCATGCATGCAAACCATATCTGTTGTCAGCTGAGGTGCAGTAAAGAGAGTTTGACTGCAAATCTGAGCCCTCCCTGGCAGGACAGAGAACAGCAGGCTTTTAAACCTGGACACAGAGCAGGTACTAAGTTGCTTCCTAGATTTCCTTTCACTGACTGGAGAGAAAAGGAAACTGCACTTGCTGATGGGAAAAGTGCTTTTGCAAGAAGCCAAGAGCATCACAATATTTGACTCACTTCAAGCTGTTGGAGTCTATCACATTCAACTCATTTGCATTGAGAAGGCACACGTATTTCATACCAATTGCATTCAGTGCAGTGACATTCAAGGCATTTCCCAAGCCAATATATCGTTTAATCATTGCAGAAGCCTAGAAACACATTTAATTTTTTCAAAAGTTAACTTGAATCAGAATTTATGTTTTCATCCTCAAAAGAAAAACAAATGCAGTAATTGCAAAAATAAAACTGAATCATTTCAAATTATTTGTTTGGACCTCAAGGATGGGCCAATCATCTCTGAACCCACTAAGCTAGTCCTAAACCACCAGCTCCCAAACCAGGAAGCAAACATGGGCAAGAAAGCAAACCCAAATCCCCACCTGATCATCAGGGGGCTGATCTTTTAGCAAGGCAGCCAGTGTGTCAGCTGAAGTTATCTTCCATCTGGAAATGTCCTCAGGGGTGATGAAAGAAACGAGAGGGCCCAGTTTGGGGAACAGCCTTTCAGGATACCCATCAGGATATGTCTGTGGAAAGACCATTGTTATTGCTATGAACACTCATTATCATGCCTGTGCTTATGAATTTATGCTCTTTGCAAAATTAATGTGGAAAAGCCCAAAAGGACTGCAAGGAGTAAGAAACCAAAGCCAGTAAGATTCCATGAGCCCATCTGTCCTTTTTCTGCTTGATAGCTCAGGCAAGCAGGCCCCGGAGGAAGGAACAAAACCTGAAGCACTGTGAACTGACGCAACACAGACCTGAGTGGGCAGTATGCCTTGCAGTGGTGAAGGCTAATCAAATACCAGGCTTCCCTAGCAGCGGTACAGCCAGCAGGTCAAGGGAAGTGATTACTCCCCTCCATTTGGCTGGCACTTGTGAGACCACATCTGGATACTACATCCAGTTTTGGGCTCCCTGGTACAAGAAAGACTTTGACAAAGTCTAGCAAAGACTAGCAAGTCTAGCAGAGGGCCACACTGGTCGGGGGGGCAGAAGCACACAACATACAAAGTGGAGCAGTGGGACTGAGGGAGCTGGGTTTTTTAGTCTGAAGAAGAGAAGACTAGGCAAGGATTTTATTACTGTCTTCAACTATCTAATGGGAGATTATAGGGAGGATGGAGCCACGCTCTTCTCAGAGGTGCACAGTGAAAGGATAAGGGCCAACAGGCGATGAAAATTCTGATTAGATATTAAGAAATACCTATTTTCACAGTAAAGGTAGTCAAACATTGGAAGAGGAGCCCAGAGAGATGGTGGAGTCTCAGTCCTTGAAGATACTTAAACTCAACTGGACAAGTCCCTGAGCAATCTCATCAGCAGATAATTTGACATTCTTCAGCTTGAGCCACGCTCTCTCAGAGGTGCACAGTGAAAGGATAAGGGCCAACAGGCGATGAAAATTCTGATTAGATATTAAGAAATACCCATTTTCACAGTAAAGGTAGTCAAACATTGGAAGAGGAGCCCAGAGAGATGGTGGAGTCTCAGTCCTTGAAGATACTTAAACTCAACTGGACAAGTCCCTGAGCAATCTCATCAGCAGATAATTTGACATTCTTCAGCTTGGCATTACCTCATCCAGATTCTTCTTCAGCACAGCTAATTGCTGAGTAGTGAAGGAGTAGGTCAGTATCTGAGAGAGGTGATTCTCCAGAGAGACGTTCTTCAGGCAAGCATGTAACTCCTCAGGTGTGTACCAAATAGGCATCAAGTCATCATTAAGAACCGTCTCTGTTATCTGCTTGCCAGGTGGGCAGCCTGTTGAAGCAATTATCAAATGTGCTCAGTGTTAAATCCTTTTGCTTCAAGCTTTGAATGCTCCCTCGCTGGAGATGGACAGGTATGCAACCATGGTTCCACCCTCCTCCTGGGTGACCTACCACCAAGCGTTTCACAATTCAACTCAGACATATTCAGGGAGACCCACAAGCACTAGGGTCAACCCTGATACCGGGGGAATGCTGCCATTATGGATCAGAGAAAGCTCCCATACCATCAGCACGCTTATGCCTAGTAGGCAGGAGTTCTTCGACAATGGTGGCCAGCTGTTCCCTTGACAGAGGTGAATCATGTGCAAAGTTTTTCAGCCAAAGAGTTAAAGCATTCTGCAAAGAAAATGTTATATGCTGCTATAAGCCTAGAGACCTTTCCTTGGTGAGCCAAAGGCAAATTTCTAAATCCTTAAACTCTATCATATCCCATGTCCCATAAATGATTTTATCTCCTCACAAAGCATTGTATATAGTTACTACTGCTTTCCACCTCTGGTACTCTTCTGACAGTTACAGGAAGAGGATGACAGCGATCTAGATTTGCAGTTCCAGGCTGTCAGCTTGATCAACCCTCACTTCTCATAGACCATCCATCCCCTTTGGCACCACACTTTTAGATGAAGACACTACTGAAAACATACTGGCTGAACAACCCCCATCATACTTCTTCCATACTGCAGGACCTAGGAGTGCTTCCCAAACTCCCCACACCTCTATGAATAACCCACCTTGGGGATCTTCTGCAAGATGCTGTGATCAAATACAGGAATCAATCCACTGAGCTCATTCAAGGTAAAAGCTGACCACGCTACCAGAGGCCTGCATACAAAAATTAGCAGGGATCAGCTTTCAAGGAAGAACAAAAAAAACCCCAAAAAACCCACCTTAAAAGCTGCCAGGATTATGTCCTTGTAACATCTGAAGTTAAGAAAATACAAGATTTAAATCCTAAAACTTCTTGATCACTTTCTGTTACATAAAACTTCATTCCACCAGAGCAGGAGCATTTGTTAATAACATGAAAAAGGGCAGCTGGATAGGAAAATGGCATTTAACAAATACATTATTTTCTTAAGCATGAAACTCAAAGAATATCTGCTGCTTACTATTGCCCAATTCAGTGCCAAGATCTCAGGGCATTTGACACAGGAAGGGAAAATATTTTGCCTCCCTGGACAATGTCTCTGTTAGATATAGCCAGGGATTTATCAAGCATCTGTCAGTTTGACAGGTAGAAACAGAATGTTTTCTGAAAGTCAGTGGCTGACAAACAGCTAAAGCCCACCTGTGTTCGTCAGGACAGTCTCAGAGAAGTTTGATTAATGAAAAATAGACCAGAGGAAAGGCTTTTATAACTAGAGCAGGGGAGACACAGAACTGACAACGTATTTTTCAGTGGAATTCCAGCCAAACTTTTCAGCTGAAAGAAGTTCAAATAAAACAATGTAAAAGGCCCAATGTGAAATTCAAAAGCAATGAATTATTCAAGTTTTTGATCAAGCTGGTTGGCTGGACTTCACTCACATCTTAACAGGACAATGGTTTTGTTTAAGGGAACTGTTTTGCTGATGCCCAGAAGAAAAATTCATACCCAAATGTAGTGTTACCACTGCTGATGACACTCCTAATAGCCTCTTCTTGATCAGGCAGGAAAGACTCACACTGGTTTAATTGCTTCAGCAAATTCCCACCAGAACTTCTAATGTATTCTCCACCCAGGTCACAGACTAGGCGTCCCAGAATCTCTGCATTTTCCTCATTTACTTGTGTGCCAGGAATTTTCTGAAGTAATGCAAGACAGAGGCATTAAATAGAACTGGATGCCGCTGTAGAAGAGCATTCTTGAACCCCAAGTTCTCCCCAGCCTTGTGCAGAGCTGTCCCCTCACCACGTACCAAACATGCTAAAGCCTCCAAGAGCAGCTGTTTCCGCTGAGACGACTCTCTTTGCAGAACATCAAGATTTGCTTTCCCAATATTAGCAAAGTACTGCCTACAGCTTCCTGTCGCTGCATAGTCTGAAGAACTAGAAAGACAAATACTCCATGAGTTCTAGTGAATGATATCAAACAGTTGGTCAGGTTCAAGGCTGTTAGAATCATAGAATAGTTTGGGTTGGAGGGGACCTCTAAAGGTCATCTAGTCCAACCCCCCTGCCATGGGCAGGGACATCTTCAACTACATCAGGTTGCTCAGAGCCCCGTCCAACCTGCCCTTGAATGTTTCCAGGGATGGGGCATCCACCACCTCTCTGGGCAACCTGTGCCAGTGTCTCACCACCCTCAGCGTAAAAAATTTCTTCCTTATATCTAGCCTAAATCTACCCCTCTGCAGTTTAAAGCCATTCCCCCTTGTCCTGTCGCAACAGGCCCTGCTAAAAAGTCTGCCACCATCTTTTTTATAAGCCCCCTTTAAGTACTGACAGGCTGCAATAAGGTCTCCTCGAAGCCTTCTCTTCTCTAGGCTGAACAACCCCAACTCTCTCAGCCTTTCTTCATAGCAGAGGTGTTCCATCCCCCTGATCATCTTTGTGGCCCTCCTCTGGACCCGCTCCAACAGGTCCGTGTCTTTCTTATGCTGAGGGCTCCAGAGCTGGACGCAGTGCTCCAGGTGGGGTCTCACCAGAGCAGAGCAGAGGGGCAGAATCCCCTCCCTCGACCTGCTGGCCACGCTGCTTTGGATGCAGCCCAGGATACGACTGACCTTCTGGGCTGCGAGTGCACATTGCTGGCTCATGTCCAGCTTTTCATCCACCAGTCCCCCCAAGTCCTTCTCGGCAGGGCTGCTCCCAATGCCTTCATCCCCCAGCCTGTATTGATACTGGGGGTTGCCCCGACCCAGGTGCAGGACCTTGCACTTGGCCTTGTTGAACCTCATGAGGTTCACACGGGCCCACTTCTCGAGCTTGTCCAGGTCCCTTCTGGATGGCATCCCGTCCCTCTGGCGTGTTGACCACACCACTCAGCTTGGTGTCATCTGCAAACTTGCTGAGGGTGCAACATATACTGTGTCCAATATAACATCTTCCACATCCGCAGACTAAACTCTATGCGGTTGTTCTTCCCAAAGATCCTAGTCCACATTTTTTAAAAATTCATTTTCACCTTAAGGAATCTGTTGTGAGACTCAGCTTAAAATTATTCAAGATTTGGATACAGAACCACAGTGGGTAGCTACTGGAAAAAAGAAATCCACTCTACTGTCTGTTTTCTTTGATGTTGTAAGGGAAAAGCACATTCACAGAGGCCAGAAAGTACTAAAACCGCATACTGGTTTCATATCCAAACAGATATATTTAAAAAGAGCTTCATACTGTTTATATTAATATGATGGATGGTTGAATCTGAAAGGACCTCAAAACCCTTTTGAAAGCTTTCTGCAATCTGATTTTTTTTTCCCCCTGTAAGGAGGCCTGAACAAGTTTGAAATATACATCAAATATGAACTAGTCATTACCAGCTAGGTTATAAAGTAACACCTCTTTTTCCCGCTAAGTACTCAGACAACAACATGAAAATCACAGCACAGTTACCTTAAAAACAGCAACAGGTCTTTAGGATAGCTATCTAAATCCTTGGGAATCCCATGCAGCGTCACCATCTTCACTAAGCAACTCAGCTGAAAGGACAGCACAGTTTACATCAGAGAAAGAAAACAGCATGAAAACATAAGAAAAAATAAAACAAATATAAAGATTTTACTCTGCTCCAAAGTGTGTGGG